GTGTCTCTATCTTGGATCAAACATGGTCACAGTGTGGTCTTGTCTGATCATTGTTTATATTCTGTGACCATTGTTTATGTTTAGTGAAGAACATCATGGCCCAGCTGCCAGGAGATGTTTCTTTTTCTCTTTCTCTGGCTCTCTCTCAGATCTGTCTCCAGTTAGCTGCCCAGAGCCTTTCCCAGCCCTTAGGTTCTCCAGGAATCATCTCTTACATCAGATACTTGAAGTCCACCAGGGACAGCAGGACCCATCATCTGGGTAGGAGGCTAGAAACACCAGGGAAGAGTATGCTAAAGCCACCCCCGCCCCAGGGAGGCGTTAAACGGTGTTATCCAGAAATGGGGGAAGGTTTCACCATAAAAAAGAAGGAAGGGAGGATGAAGGAAGGAAGAGAAAGAAGGAAGGAAGGAAGGAAGGAAGGATGGAGGGAAGGAAAGAAGGAAGGAAGGAAAGAAGGATGGAGGGAGGAAGGGAAAGAAGGAAGGAAGGAAGGGAGGGAGGGAGGGAAAGAAAGAAAAGAGAGAGAAGAGAGGGGAGGAGGAAAGGGGGAGAGGGGAGAAGAAGAGAAGAAGAGAAGAGAAGAGAAGAGAAGAGAAGAGAAGAGAAGAGAAGAGAAGAGGAAGAAGAAGAAGAGAAGGAAAGAAAAGAAAATTGGAGAAATGCTGGATTAAGTAGACAGGCCTGTCTTTAAACTGCAAGGCTGCTTCTCCGAGGCTTGAGTGCTCCTGAGCATCGCAAGTCTGCAGGAGCAACAGCATGTTTGGTGTTTTTTGAACAAAGATAGAGTCAGAGATATGGGCAGGAGCCAGAGACAGAGAGAAGCAGAGACAAAGAGGGACAGAGGCACAGAAAGTGACAAGAACAGACGCAGAGGGACAGGAACAGGGATGGAAAGGCAGGGATAAAGAGAGACAGAGAATGGAATACAGAAAGATAGGGACTGAAAGAGACAAGGGAGAGGAAAGTCAGAGAGAGAAACAGATATAGAAGGGCAGGCAGGATCAGGGCCGAGAGGGGCACCGGAACAGACAGAGGGACCCGGCCCGGACCGTGCGGGTAGGGCGCCGCGCAGACAAAGGCGCGGCCTCGCGGCCCGGGCGGCCGGACCGGGACAAAGGCTGGCCCGGGGGGCGGGGGCAGCGGCGATGGCGACGACCGCGGCGGGCGCGGGCGAACTACAAGTCCCAGCAGCTCCCGCTGCGGCCCTCGGCCAGCCCCTC